CCCCCCCCCCCAAAGTGCTAGCGGCCCTTCCAGTTTTGCCAGCGGCATTTCTGATTTTGCTGCCAGTGCTTCCAGGGTCAGTGATTGGCCACTAGGGGACCCCCCACTCCCCCGGTTGGCGATCAGTCACTGGTGCCCCCCCAGAGTCAGGAGGCACCAGTTGCCCATGTTCTGAAGTCTTCTTAGAATCAGTGCTACCCATGAAATTCCATATCCTGTAAAGACAATTTACAATCCCTGAACATGGATGTATAACCATACATTGAAAGAGAGAGGTAGTTAACCATGTTAGTCTGAAGTCGGGCAGAAGGCAGGGTAGATCTGCACCTTACAGACTAACTAAATCAGAGCTGTATATAGCATAAGCTTTTGTGCCCAGCATCTGATGAAATGAGCTTGAGCCCATGAAAGCTTATGCTGTATACATCTCAGATTTAGTCAGACTATAAGATGCATACCTAGCCTGCCTTCTGCCATACATTGAAGCCCGTATTGGTTTTTTTGCATTCCATTTACTAAGTAATACAGTAAAATCCCTGTTATCCAGCATGAGTAGGGAATGGGGGGTGCTGGATATCTAAAAATGCTGGTTACCTGAGGAGCATGGGTTTCCAGACAGATGTGGAGTGGGGAGGCTGGAGGAGGGGAGAGTGGTGGCAGCTGAACGTGGAGCAGGGTGTGGGGGCTAGCGGCTGCACATGGAGCAACAACCTTGAAGGGTGATAGGTGGCGGTGGCGGCTACTGCGTGTGAGCTCCCCACTCCCCCCGCGCCCAGCCAGCCAGTTGGAAAGTCCAGTTAGTAGAGTGTTCTGGATAGTAGAATGCCGGATAACAGGGATTTTACTGTATAGAGCATTGACCCACCAACTTCATTATTTACCACTATCAATCTTGCTATCATTTAATATCTTTATTAGCAGTTATTTTGTATTTTCTCCAAGGACTTTGATAAAACCATTATATTATTCCAAGGCAAGAACAAGATCTCTATGGGAAACACATACCTTTTGCGGTTACGTCTCTAGATCTTTTAAATAATCAGTTTTCAATCCATTTAATGTATGCCATGTTGATTTTGTATCATTCTGGTTTCTTAAACAAAATGTTTTCTGAGACCTAGTCATATGCCTTATGAAGTCTCTTACACCGAGACTGTTACTTTTATCAGCCAAACTTGTAATTTTATCAAAAAGTGATATCAAGTTGGTTTGACAGGATTTATTTTTTAAGAGACATGTTAAATAGCATCAATTAATCTCTTTTAACTCTTTATTTATTAAGTCCTATATCAGCTCTTCTAATATTTTGCCAGGAGTAATGTCATGCTGACTTGCCATAATTACTTGGCTCTTCCCATGTACCTTTTTAAAACATATTTTCAGTTTTCTAATGCTTTTCATCCTATGCTTTGTGCTGCAGTTGAGAAGGTAGATGAAAGATGGATGGAGGGCGTGTCTACTCCTGCTATTTATTTGATATAGGCTTATTGCACAGTAAAATGCTGCCCAGGAAGCCTTCCTGAGAGTGCGTCTACAAATGTACCCTGTTGAGAGCAAATCTGCCCTCAATGTTTGTTTCCCTGGAGACAAGTAGCAGCAGTGCACCTTGCGCTGCTGGTTCTTGTCCCCAGGGAATGCCCATGCCATGTGTGCATTGGCACCCTGGCCCTGCAAACATGTTTGCAGCACCACATACTGCATGGCCATGTTCATCTGGACATACCCAATGAGCTGGCAGGGGGCCCTGGCTGGAAAGGGGGCTGGACTAAATGACCTCCTGAAGTCCCTCTGAACCCTAATTTTCTATGATTGTATAAGGTGGTTAATTATACATTATGCTGTAACCATGATGGTCCAGAAACTATGTGAAAGGCGAGATTTTTTTATCGGACAAGTATGATTGGAACAAAGTTAGACAAGCTTCCAAATGCATAACATTCTTTATCAGGTCTGAGGAGGGAAGCAAGCAAACACAGGCAAGAGTAGATTGAAGCAGTTGTAATCTCCATCTGAATATCAGATCCACATATGATTAGTCTGATTCCTTACTTGCACCTATTTTACACCTACATGACATCAAAGACTTAATTTAAACTGGTGGAGCTTTGAGGAAAACTGGGTCCAATGTACAGAATGATTGAACATCATTTGGAAGAGACATCCTTTGATTCATTGGTGAATGGCACTGTTTATTTGTTTACCTAATTCTGGAAAGA